TCAAGCATCTTAGCATTTGGCCTCTCTGGTTGACGTTATTCTAAATCCAAATGAAAGGGCTCACACATGGATGGAATAGTTTGAAAGAGCTGATGTTCATGTTTCTGGAGTTATATGCACAGCTGCACAGGAATGTAAATATGTTTTATGGATGCCTTCAGACACAGTGATGTTAATGGATTTGTAGAAAAAATGCTGAAGATGAAGCACATCATTCAGGTAGAATAATTCAGTACTCTGATTCAGGTGTAAATCATTGAAGTGATGAAATGCATCACTTTTCATTAAAAATGTGAGATAAGACAACAGCAGTTGGGTTTGCTGTGATTCAACTGCAAAATGTTAAGAATATTTCTTAATCAACCATTTTAAAAAGACACAGACTTTGTAAGCAGTTGGTAATGATACAAATTAAGAGACTAATAACCTAATTCACACTGGAGCTGATGTTGTCACAGACATATTAAGAATTTCTGGACTCATGGTGAATATTACCAAGGTCACAGAAAGACAATATATTTCCTCAGTTCTGGAAGGGTTGCTGACTATCCTCCTCTCCTGATCTTTGCCATCTTGTTTAAATATTAAGCATTACTGCAGTTTGAATATCAGCTACTAAATCGGAATAGCTGAGACTATATGGTTAAGAGGTGCCCATCTCTTTGGGTTTAGGTGGGAACAATGTTAAAATTTTCTTTAACTCTCATGTGACTTGGTACAGAGTTTAACATCATGATTTCGTACTAGGTCCAGAAGCTGACACCTTCTGGAAGAGTGTCACAGCAAGCTGCAAGCAGCAGGAGTCTCTTGGAGTGCATCAAGGATAAGCTAATCCAGAATATCCTCCGCCAATGAGAGAAGATGTTTTGCTGGATCTGTTGCTCTTCACCTTAGAGGAGCTTACAGGAGAAGTCCATACTCATGGTAGCCTGAGTTGCAGTGATCATGTCCTGGTGAAAATCATGATTTGAAGGGATAAGGACAGACAAAAGGTAAATATTGCCTTGTTCTTTTGAGAGTTTTAAAGTTCTTCTAAACGTTTTTTACACCTTCTGATGTTTACATATTTCTACTGGAACTTTCTCACTGTTCATATAAACAATGATTGTTTTGCATTCTTCTTTGTGGGTGGAGAGAATTGATGGACTGTTGGTTTGACCAGTGTGGTTGGAGAGGTGGAAATTTCACCCTCCAATCCACTGTAACTTTTAAAATTATATATATAGTGGAGTCAGAAAATTAAATTTCTCATTTTGTTCTTTTCTTCCCTCTTTTGCATCTGGCATCCATGTGTGAATTATTTTGTGTCGTAGTGTGACAGGTAAAGTCAAGTTCTTAAAAATTTTCAAGAGCAAACTTTCTGTTCTTAAAGGAAGTAGTAGCTGGGAGGCTTCAGGAAACTGCCCTCAGGAATGAAAAAGCAGAATATCATTATCAGATATTTAAAGGTATTTTTCTTAGAGCACAAGAGTTCTCACCTCCCATTTGCATGAAATCATGCAAGGAAGGCAGGACATCAGCATACCTGAGTAAGATCCTCCTGGTCAAAGTAAAATACAAGGGAAATGCATACACAGTGGAAGGAGGTACACATGTCTTGGGAAGAATACTGGTATACTGCTCAGGAGTATAGGGGTAGGATCAGAAAACATAAGGCACAGCTGGAGATAAATTTGCTGAACTTTGTGATGAATAATAACAGGGGATTCTTAAGTATCTTAGCCACAAAAGGAGAACAAAAATATTCTACTGCACTGGAAAATGAGACAGGAAATCTGATGATAACTGACATGGAAAAGGCTGACAACCTTTTTCCCCAGTTTTCACTGACAATCACTCTTTCCATATCTTTCAAGCCTATGAATCTCAAGGCAGGGACTAGGGGAATGAAGTCCCCATCATAGGGAAAAATCAGATTTGTGATAATCTGAGATACCTGGCCATGGAACCCAATTACAGGCAGCCCAGGGTCCTGAAAGAACTGTCAGAGGTGGCTGCTAAGCTGCTTTCCAGAATGCCTGGAAGTATTTACTAAATTCAAGAGATATTAGGTAAAAGAAATAGTTAAAACATTATATTAAATAAAAATAATTAATATTAATTAAAAAGAAAAGTAAATTGGGTTTTTATTAATCATAAAGAGATACTATAATTATAGGGAACAAAACTTTTCAGATTATATCAATATAAAAAGAATTTGAATTAGCCAGCAGCTCCATAATGAATATTTCAAAAGCTAGTGTTTAAAATAAAAATGTTTATGTTTCTATTAAGTACAAATGTCAGAAGTGTAGTAATGGTATAAAGAGAACTGACATTAAAAACAGTAAAATGCAGTATCTTGATGCATGGTATTTAATTAGAGCTATGAAAATAAATTAAAATGTACTTTGAAATTAATAAAATCCAATTTTAATAGGATTTAAACATGTTATTTTTTTAATTGTTAGAGAAGTGACACTACAAATTACTTTAAATGAATGATGTCTGAGATATACTAAATCTATGTTATTGAGCTTACTGATCAAGAAAGGTTATTTCTAGCTTCTACAAGGTTGCCTTAAGTCTGTTGTTTAAGCCATAACATTTCCTACACCCCTGGCAATTTGCAAAAAACACTAAATCAGAAAAACTCCCTCACACCTAGAGCTTGGTTTAGAATTAAGTAGATGTACTTTATCACATACTTTTGAGGGAAACTGAAAAAAAATAGTTGTTTTTATGACAGTGTAAAATATACAGGGAAACGGGAATAAAGCAAGAGAGTGTTGTTCTGGCTTTCTGAATAATTACTTTATTGAGAAAGATGGCATTTGCAGTGGCTGGGAAGTTATTAGCTCTGGTGATCACCAGACACAGAGCTTGTGGTTGCTTTTTTATGCTTGTGGTTGCCGTTGTTCTCTGTATGGAAGGAGATGGCCTCAAAGGCTAAGCCTGCCTGTCTAGTCCAGGAACATGAATGAGCTGTTCAAAGCTCCTTCAGAAGCCTTTGTGTACTTACCTCTTTCTGTTGCCTGTGAGAGTAACACAGTGTGCTCAATTTAGAAGGACTGATTTCACCAAATGACTAATTTTAAACACAAATCAGGCAGGTCCATCAGGCTGACTGGTACCATCATATTTACAGCAGTTTGGTTTCCAAAGAAGTTGTTAATATGTGAGCATTTAATTAGGTTATCTGGAGATTTTGTGACACCTCCAAAATGCATGTGGAAGAAAAGAGAGATATCTGGTGACACCCCCTCCTTTTCAGGTACTTACATATCTTATACTTGATAAGGTCCCCTCAATCATCTCTTCCCAAGGCTGAACAGACCCAGTTCCCCCAGTCTTTCCTCATGTAAGAGATACTTCAGACCCTTAATCAATTTTTTTACTCTCCACCAGACACAGCATTCCAGGTGTGTCTCACAGGGCTGAGTATAGGATCACCCCCATCAACCTGCTGGCGATACTCTTCCTAATGCTCATGTCTTTGTTGAATTTTGGATGGTTCTTCTCTTCCTATCTCTCTAACCTGTTGAGGTCCTTCTGAAGGGCTGCACAGCAGTCTTGGGTATCTGTCACTCCTCCCAGCTTTGTGTCAGTGAATTTGCTGAGGAGGCATCTGCACTTTTTTTCAAATCATTGATGAGTAAGTTAAACAATACGGAGCCCAGTATTCAACACTGGGTAACAGCACTAGTGACAGGCATCCAACTAAACGCTGTGCCACTCATGACAAACCTCTGGGATCTGCCATTCAGCCAGTTCTCAATCTGCTTCACTGTCCACTCACCCAGTCCACACTGCCTGAGTTTGCCCATGAAGCTGTTGTTAGAGTCAGTGTCAGAAGCTGTGCTGAAGTCAGGGTAAACAGCATCCACTGCTCTTCCCTCATCCATCCAGGCAGTTGTTTCATCACAGAAGGCAATGTCAAACATGATTTGCCTTCAGTGAAGCCAAGCTGACTACTCCTGATCACTTACTTGCCATCTGTATGGATAGAAAAGGCCTCCAGAATGAGGCATTCCATCACCTTTCTAGGGATCAAGGTAGCAATGATGAGCCAGTATTCCCTGTGTGCTGCTTCTTGCTCTTGTTGAAGACTTGGGTGATTTTTGCTTTCTTCCAGTCCTTGGGCACCTCTCCTGGTCACCACATTTTTCACAGTTGATCCTGAGTGACCTCGCTATGGTGTCCTCCAGCTCTCTCAGCACTCGTGGATGCACCCCATCAGGGCCCATGGATCTGTGTCTGTCAAGCTTGCCTAGATGTTCTCCAAACCAATCCTCCTGGACCAAGGGGAAGTCTTCCCTCCAACATTCCTTTACCTTGGTCTCCTGGGTCAGAGATTCCTGAGGGCTGGACTGGTCCTTGAAGACCAATATAAAGAAGGCGTTCAGTACCTCTGACTTTTCTGTGTCCTCTGTTATCAGGGTCTGCCCTTCGTTTAGTAACAGGCCCACATTATCCTTTGCTTTCCTTGTGTTGTTGAAGCATTTCAAGAAGCTGTCCTTGACTAGAATTTTCCTTTTCATCCTTGGCCAGATTTAATTGCAGATGGATTTCTTTTCTTTTAGAATCAAAAGAACTAGAGGCTGCAGAGTGAAAAAAGCTGTGAGAGTATGCGTACTCCTTACTACTTTCTCATAAGGTACTGATGGTAAATTAGAGGGCATTACTGATGAGCACCGAAAATTTATTAGAGCAAAAGGCTAATTGAGCATTATCAAATTCTGCTAGAAGTAAATCAAGGGCCAACATTGTTGTCATCTTGAAAATTAAGTGAGGTGAATGTATCATAGATGTAAAGTGTAAGTGTTTGAGACAAAGGGATCATTACTATTAATGCCTATCATTTATTTGGCATATGTAGTGAAATATCACTCTCAAGATGAGTGTCTCAGTTATTTGGTGAGATACAGATACAAATGAAAATCTAATTACTGATGTAAAGACATTTTGGATTTAGGCCAACAGGAATCCTGGGGGAAAAGCCTCACTCAAGTCCTAAAAGTTTTACTCATGTGAGTAGTGCTGGAGACACTGAAGAGGTGATTCATCAACAGAAGGAATTAAGGAAAAAGTATATGTAGAACTGAAGTATAATGTAGAGCAAAAGACAAGTTGAGGGTCATAAGCAAAGGGAAGAAACTGAGAGTAGAGGCCTAAAAGCTTTTTTCAGAGTCAGCTTTCTCCTTACCTACCATACACTCAAATCCTGAAATGAAATATAACATGGTCTGTGTGTGGGCTACCCTAAGAGTGAATTCCTGTCAGCTGAACAGACTGATCTTTCAAACCATTAAGGTCTCCACTGGGTTCTGGACTCTAGAAACACAGAGTAACACAGCTAAAAAGGACCCTTATGAGTCATCTGGTCCAGCACCCTACTCAAAACAGTGAATATTTCAAAGGTAGAGGAGATTGATAGAGACTTGTCCAGCTGACTTGTAAATGTAACGGTGTGTACTTCTCATTACTCTCCTACAAATTGATTTTTCCTTATACTCAGTGGCAAACTCCCTTCCTGTAGCATGTGTCCTTTGCCTCTGTTCCTTTAGCTGTGCAACAGCAAGGAACAGGATCCCTTTTCTCTATTTTTGATAGTTGGAGATGGGAAGGAAGTGCCTCCAAACTTGTCTCTCCTCCAGATCTGCCAAGTCCACTTCTCATAGCCTCTCTTTTCTCTCACAAAACTTCGTACAGGATGATCTTCAGAAGTCCCTTCCAAGTTTGTTTTATGATTCCCTATGACATAAGTGCTCAAGCCCCATTGCTGAAGTCACACTGGTATACCCAAGTCTTTTTTTAACTTGTTATAAATTAATTTCAGTACAGTCATTTGTATCTTCCTAACTCCTTGCAGTAAAAGGCTATGTGAGAATAAAGCCTCACAAAAGGCCAATTGCGAAAGTGAAAATGTAGTAATCTTGCATCAAAATTATACACAACATTCAGCAAAGAGACAGGAGCACAAAAGGGAAAAAAAAAAAAAAAAAGGCTGGGT